ATATATTTATTTTATATTTTATTTTAAATAAAATAAAAACATTTTATATTATATTATTATATATTTTAATTATAAAATTACAAACTATATTAAAAACTTATAATTTTTAATATGATTTTATTTTTTAATTATTATATTCATTGATATTAAGTAAGTATATTTTTTATTATTATTATTATTATTATATTTTTAAATAATTACAATTTATTTTAGAATTTATAAAAGATATTTTTTTTATTTTTAAATAATATAAGTTACATATTTATTAAATATTAAATGTATTAATGTATAAATTATATGTAGTATTAATTATTCTTTTATTTTTTGCATAAATTATAAATCAAAAATAAATTTATTTTATTTAATAAACCATTAATAATTTATTTATGATTTATATTATTATTATTTTTAAAATTATTTTGTAAATAAAATAAAATATTTGTGAAATATTATAACATATATATCTCATTTTTTAATAAGAATAGTTGTAATATTTATATAATTTTATTAAAATTAAATAGAATGATAAATAAAAATTAAAAATTATTAATTTTCTAATAAATGATAAGTAATTTTTAAAAAATATAGTTTATTAATATATTATATATTATTATATTCATAATTTATATTTTTTATATAAAATCAATTTATTTATTTTTTATCAAATTTATATTTAATTTATCTTATATTTTATTTATAATATTACTACTTTTAATATCAATAAATAAATAAATTTTGATGATTAATTATTTTATAATCTTTAGATAATAATTTTTATAATTATAAGGAAATTGTTTTATATTTCAACATATTTTTATTGATTATTTTTTGATTTATTATTCTTCATTTTTTTATTTTTATATTATAAAAAAGTAATATTAAAATAGAAAAAAACAAATATAAAATAATAATAATGCTTTAATGTATAAAAAAAACTAAATAAATAAAAAAAATGTAAATATAGTGTTTCATAAAAAATATTTCTCTCATTTGAATATTATATGTAATTCTAAATTATTTATATATATATATATATATATATTTTTATATTTTTTTTTTTAAAACAATATACTTGAAATTATAGTAATAAATTTAAAAATATTAATATTATCTAAAAAAAATATATCTTTTAAATATGAGTAAATAAAAAAAAATTTAAATAAATATTTAATGTTAATATAATAATTTTTTTATGAATTTATTTTTAATAATTCCTAATTAAATAAATATAAAAATTATTTAAAATATGAGAAAGAAAATATAGGATTATATTAATAATAGATATAAAATAAATCAAATAGTATTATAAAAATATATATATATATATAAATAAATAATAGGATAAATATAAATATTTTTAGAAATTGTAATTTCATATAATTAATATACATTATTTATATAACCCTATTTAATTTATTAAAAATTAAATTTAACTTACATAATTATTAATTTTAATTTTCTATATATTTAATATAATTATGATTCATTAATATTACATATTTTTATAAATTAGATAAATAATATTAATAATAATAATAATAATGATAATAATAATAATCTATAAGTTAAATTCTATAAGTTAAATATATAAATTTAAAAAAATAAAATAATAAAATAATAAAATTATTAAAATATGGTCATATATTTTTCAAAATAACAAGATTTAAATTTATTAAATTAAAAATATTATAATGTAATTATTTTTCATGTTTTCTGAAATCATAAGAATAAAAAATATAAATTTATATTTTAATATTATTATTTTAATTAATAAATAATATATAGTATATTTTATGATATTTTTCTTTAATAATATAAAATAATAAATTAATATATTTATTTTATTATATATCAATAATTAAACATATTATATTTTTTTAAAAAAAGGAATAAATATATAATTGTTAATATATTAAAGTTAAAATATTTTTTTTACTATTTTATAAATATTAATTTATTAAACAAAGAGTCAAAATAAATAAATAAATACTACAAAATATTTCATTATTGATTTCGTAAAAAATAATCTATTTAAAATATATATATTAATGAAAATACAATAAATATTAAATATAAATATTTTATATAAATATATAAATATAAATAAATTATTAATTTAAAAAATATTAAAATAATTAAATAAAAAATATAATGTATTTCAAACTAATTCTAATAAATTTCTTAATTTTTACTGTTTTAACCAATTTTTTAAAAACTTAAGATTGTTGCTCTTAAGGATGTATGTAATATAATTAATCTGGGGAATGTTTATAATGTTAAGACGGTTATTAATTAGATTAAGAAAGTAAATAATGCGTAGAAATCGCTACTAGAGTTCTAGATCAAGTACAAATATGTAATGAAGATGAAGGATGTGCTTAATGTTCTGAATTTGGATTTTGTTAAGAATGTAAAGTAGGTTATTATGATACTGAGAAATACTTTTTTGGTTCTAATCCAAGGAAAGAATGTAAAATATGTAAAGATTATATCCCTAAATGTGAATAATGTACTAAATATACGTGCAATAAATGTTTATCCCTCCATTAATATGAAGCTTATAAAGGAGAATGTTTTGATATAAACATGGATGAATCTCTAGTAAAATGTGACGAGGGATGTGATGTATGTATTTATACAGGAATGTGTAGTGCATGTAATGATGGTTATCATAAAGAAACTTTAGTAAATAGTTATATTATGTATACATTATGTAAAAAAACTTGTACTACTGTTAGAAATTGTCTAGAATGTAATGAAGAAAATGTATGCACAAAATGTGAAAAATCGTTTTATCTTGAAACAGAAACTAATAATTGCATATGATACTCTGATATTAATAGATTTTATTTAAGACTTAAAACGATTAAATATAATATAAGAGTTATAAAGGGTTTATATTTAAATTGTATTATTATATTAATTATTTTATAGTATATTTATATTTAGGTATAATGAAATTATTAATATAATAATTTTTATCTTTAATATTTAAAAATATTATATTTATACAAATATATAAATATTCATTGATATTCATTGATATTCATTAAAATTCTTTTATTTAAATTTTAAATATAAATAATTAAAATGTAAATTTATTAAATTTAAAATAAAAAAAAATTACAATTAAAAGAAATAATCAATATATTATATTATTAAATATATAATTCAATTATTTAATAATTTATTTAAATTATAGATATTAAAAATTTTTTAACGTATAATTTTTTATATTAAAAATAAATATTATATATATTATAATTATTATTATTGTTTATATTAATATTATTATTATTATTATTATTATTATTATATTATTATTATTATTATAATTTTTATAATTTTTATCAATTTTATTTTTATTTTAATTTATATATATTTTTTTTTATTATATACACTTAATATAATTATATTAAAAAAATAAAATATGCAATACATTTATTTATATTAAAATAAAAATATATGTTTTTATATTTTCATTTAGAAAAATTTTTAATTTTTTTTTTGATAGTTATATATTATTGTATTTTTAAAGTTTTTATTATCTTTCTGATAGTTTTACATATATAATTTTTTTTTTATTTATTTCTTTATAATAATATTTTTTATTTTTCTTCAGACTTATTATTACTTTTTTATTTTAAATTATTTAATACTTTTTTATAAATTTTCTTTTTTTTCTTTATTTTATTTAAAAATTCATATTTTTCCTAATTTTTACTCTGTTCTTTTTAAAATCTATATAAAAAAAATTAACAGAATATATATAAATTACAAACTTTATGCCATTCATAAGAGCTTTTTTCCTTTTAAACATATATAATTGTTTAAATAAACTTAATTTAGTATTTATTTGGATTTTAATGTTTTAATCATCATTTTTATATTAATTTTTAAAATAAAGGCATATAAAAGAAATTTAATATAGATAATAATATTTAAGTATTTTTATTTAATTAATTATTTTATTTTATATTTCATTAAAAATTTTAAAATCAATATAATTTAAAAAAATACTTAAAGCATTAAATTATAAAATACATCAGATATTTTCAAAATGCATATGTCTGAAAAAGAAATCATTACAGAATAAATTCCTTATTTAGCTTTTATATAATTTAATTTATGAATAACTAAAACTTTTAAAATATGCAATAATAGAGAATTTTAATTTAAGAAAAAGCTTAAAAGAAGCAATATTAATTTTTTTTAAAAAAAGTAAATATTTATATATTATTAGAGAAAAAAGACATAACTATTTTTTATATTTTCTTTATTTTTTTAAAAAAATAAACATAAAAATATTAATAATGGCTTTTTTTCTTTCTAACCACTATATAAATATAGTTTTTAATTATTTCTAAAAATTTAATTATGTGAATAATATTTAATTTAATTAGATTATTTTTTCTAATAATTATGAGAATAAATAAAATTCGAATTTTATTGAAAAATACTTAAAAACTCAAAAATATTATTCTATTATTTTTCATAGTAATTTAAATAATGACTTGTTAATATAAAATAAGAAAAAACTTACTTACCAAGAAAATTAATATATCATAACCAATAAATTTATATTTTTTTAAAAATAATATAATAAAAAAAAGAGGAGTATTCTACAGCTAAAAATAAAAAACTCATAATCATTAAAAAAGAAATTAAAAAAAATTGTTTTTATTTAAATCTGAAATAAAGAAAATTATATTTTGCATATTCAAAATAAAATATAATTATTATATAATATTTAAAATGTTTTAATTAATAAAATTAATAGATAAATACAAAAATATAAAAAAATCAAATTGCACATTTTATTATAATAAAATAAAATATTAAATATTTTTATAATATTATTTATCTATTTATTTTTAAAATTCCTATTTTATATCAATAAAAATTATATATTAATATATGTATTTTATAAACAAATTTTAATTTTTTTTTAAATATATATAGTTTATAAAAATCATTAATATTTTTTAATATTTCATATATATATATATATATATATATGTTTTTTTTTAATTTATAATTTTATTTATGATTGCGATTTTTTTATTATTTTTAAAAATTGTTAATTTTTTTTTTTTTTCGATTGCAATATTTCCTTAAAAAAAATCAATAAATATATTAAAAATAAAAAAAAAATTTAAATAAAACAATTTTTTGTTTTATTAATATTATATGAAAAAAGTGTTAAAGAAATATTAAAAAAAAATTGTTTATAAAAAATTAAATAAAATAATTTAAATTTTGTAATAAAAAATAATAATAATCAATATTTTAAATATAATTTTTAATATCTAATATTTTTCAATTATTTATATTATTAATAATGCAATATATATAAAATATTTTTTAAACAAATATTAAGTTCAATTAGAAAAGTAGATACATATTTATAAATATGTAATATTACATAAAAAAAA